GATAAAGATAGAATGTTAAATGCAGGTGGGGAAATAGTTTTTGGAGTGGTTGGTGCAATTATTTAATAATGTATGGAAGAGGGTAAGGTACTAGGGATTGGCAAGAGAGATGCATAGTTCCTTTGTATAAGGCAAAGGGGGATAAAAGAGAGTGCACAAATTATAGGGGATAAGGTTGTTGAGTAGACTGGTAAAGTGTAGGTAGAGTTATTATTGAATGAATAAGAGTAAGACGGAGATTGGATAGCAGATGAACAGGAGGCTTAAGGCAAGGTTAGGGGGTGTGTGGACAGGTGTTTACAGTTGAAACTATGTGTGAACAGTATTTAGATAAGGCTAAAGAGGTCTTTGTGGCATTTATGATTTGGAAAAGGCATATAATAGGGTGGATAGGGGGGCAATGTGGCAGATGTTGCAGGTGTATGGTGTAGGGGGGGAAAAGGTAGGTTACTGAAGCAGTGAAGAGTTTTTACGAGGATAGTGAGGGTCAAGTTAGAGTAGTAGGAAAGCGGGAAATTATTTCCCGTAAAAGTAGGCCTTAGACATGGATGTGTGATGTCAACCCCCCCCCCCCCCCCCCCCCCCCCCCCCCCCCATGGTTTTTAATATATTTATAGATGGGGTTTGTAAGAGAAGTGAATGCGAGGGTCTTGGCAAGAGGGCGTGGAGTATTTAAAAAGATAAATATTACACACAAAGTGGGGAGTTGTCAACAGTTGCTCTTTGCTTGCTGATGGACACTGTGCTCTTGGGAGGATTCTGAAGAAGAAGTTGCAGAGATTGGTGGATTGAATTGGTTAGGTGTGCAAAGAAGAAAATTAAAGGTGAATACAGGAAAGAGTAGGTTATGAGGATAAAAAGATTAGGTGATGAAAGATTGGATTTCAGATTGGAGGGATGAGAGTATGGAGGAGGTGAATGATATTCAGAATTTGGACGTGGACGGCGTTCAGTGTGGGTCTATGAAAGATGAGGTGAATCATAGAATTGATGAGGGGAGGAAAAGGGTGGTGGTGCACTTAAGGGGTCTGTGGAAGACAAGAACTTTGTCCTTGGAGTGCAAAGAGGGGAATGTATGAGAGTTATAGTTTTACCAACGATCTTTTATGGGTGTTGAAGCATGGGTGATGAAGGTTGCGCGGAGGAGAAGGCTGGAGGCAGGGGAAGATGTCATGGTTGAGGGCAATGTGTGGGGGTGTGAATATAATGCAGTGAATTCGTAGCTAGTTTGGAAGTTAGGAGGAGGTGCGGATTACCAAAATGTTGTCCAGAGGCTGAAGAAGGGGTGTTGAGGTGGTTGCGACATGTAGAGAGATGGAGCGAACTGAATGACTTCAAGAGTGTAATCAGTCTGTAGTGGAAGGAAGGCGGGGTAGGGGCGGCCTAGGAAAGGTGGATGGGAGGGGGTAAAGGGAGTTTGGCCACTCAACCCTTGTGCGAGGGGCTTGGACTTCCAGCAGGTATGGTAAGCGTGTTTGATAGGACGTGAATGGTGACAAATGGTGTTTAATACTTGACGTAGTGTTTGAGTGTGAGACAAAGTAACATTTATGCAAGGGGTTCAGGGAAACGCAGGCCGGACTTGACCTGGAGATGGGAAGTACAATGCCTGCCACTCTGAAGGAGGGTGTGTAAATAAATGTTGAGTTTAAAAACTGTAGTGTAAAGCACCCTTCTGGCAAGACAGTGATGGAGTGAATGATGGTGAAAGTTTTTCTTTTTCGGGCCACCCTGCCTTGGTGGGAATCGGCCAGTGTTGTTAATAAAAAAAAAAAAAAAAATAATAATAGGCTCATAGGGGGTCCCAGTCCCAAAAACCTTCAAAAATCCCTCTTGTCGGAACAATCTGGCCACAATTTTCTCCAGGCAGAGTTCAAAGTCCTGGTAGTCACTCCCTCCCAAGCCATACCTATAAGGGTTATGCATTGGAGGATGCTGAAGTGTTCTCTCCAAAATTTCCTTAGGGTCAAGTGAGTGTCTGTGGGTCACAGTCAAGCACCTGTGAAACAATTGCTTTGTGTAGGGTTTTTTAATGTTTTGTAATAAGTGCTGCGTCCATGGGTTGCAGGAGAGGAGTGGTATTCGGGGCAAGAACTTTACTGTGATGGAACCCAAACTCCTCGAAAATTGGTCATCCAAGTTTGGAGGATGAGCAGGGGGCATTGTCCATTACTAGCAGGCACTTGAGATCCAATTATTTTCAGGAGATACTCCACACTAGGGCCAAACACTTCATGAACACTCGACGAAAATTTCCCTCGTGACCCAGTGCCTTGCTATTAGATTTCCAAAACACCACACAATTTATCTTCAAACATTGTTTTTTCTGAACACTGGGATTTTCTGAATGGTACACTAGTTAATGGCTTCACTTTGAAATCCCCACTAGCATTAGCACAGAACATTAGCGTCAGCCTGTCTTTCATAGGCTTGTGTCCTGGCATTGCCTTTTCCTCTTGTGTAATGAAGGTCCTCTTTGGCATTTTCTGATGTATGTCATATTAACACTTTTAAGAGGAAAGTGATGTTAACCCCAAGTTTAGGGTCTGTCGATCTCTGTCTATCTCTGTCTGTGTCTGTCTCTACCTGTCTCTGTCTCTATCTGTCTTTGTCTATCTGTCTCTATCTCTTTCAATCTGTCTCTGTCTATCTCTGTCTCACAGGTACACATAAATAGTATACATATTTTCTTCCAGAAGATTCCTGTCTTGTCACACTTAAACACTCGTTTGGGACAAAACCCCTCTGCCTCTACATACTCTTAGAATTCAGTAACATATTTTTCAACAGCCATTTTGTCAGCACTGGCAGCCTCCCCATGCCTAGCTACCCTACCCTATGAATGTCACTTCTTTTCCTAATATTATCAAACCAACCCCTACTAACCTTTTTCACAAATAATGGCCTCTGAAACACTATCACCATGTACTGTAACTGTTTATCATTTATCCAAATCATCAAGAGTTTTTCAACCTCACTAATTTGTGGCTTTTGCTTTCATATCACTTTCATGCCTTTTTCAAGGTCAGCTGCTTTAATTTTTTCACTTTGGCCCAGTATCATGCTAATGGTAGACTTTGATTTACCAAAAAGTTTTGCTGTATCAACCACACTGAGCCTATCTTCATACTTTCTAATGACTTCTTTTTTAAACTCAACGGTGCATTTTACAACTTTTCGTTTTGCTTTCATCTCTTTATCCTTCTTTGGACCCATGATGGCTTATCTCGTAATAAAAAAACTGCACCTAAACCACAAAATAACAGTGCACATTCTGTGACCACATGACCCGAGCCGTTCACGTTGTCGGTCGACAACCAAGAGAACACACAAAAACCATGACCTTTTTTTCTTGAATTCCTCATTCAAAAACTGTGACAAGTAATGCAGTTGACAACCAAGGTTCCACTGTATTTATTTAATGCATTGTAAACAAAGATTGTTTCTCTACAATGACAGGCAAGGAGGATCATCTTTTAATGATTTTTTAAATTTAATATCAAATGGAGAATTTAGATTTCCCAATTTCAAAATTAGATGCCATTTTCAATAGGTCCAGAATAAACAAGACGACACTCCTGGCACTAAAATAATATTTCTCTGTTCTTTAGTCACGTTCCAGGCCTCTTACATTTTCTTTTGTTTTCCCACTTTGAATTTTTATTCTCACAAAAATAGATTTACGTTCTGCAGACCCCCGCATTAGTGCAGAAATGATATAAATAATACAGACACTTGTGAAAGAATATTAGACCCCCAATTTGATGTTATTGACGCTGGCATGATTTGTTTATTTTGAACTTTGGCAAAAATCGAAAAAATTTCTGTTTTTTGAGCTCAATTCAAGACGTACTTTCATGTGAACCATCAAATTTCTCAATTTTTGTAATATGTCTACGATTCTATAAATGGACCGGAAAACTGGAATCAACCATAATACTTATGAAAATACAGTGTAAAGCCACTTTTTTAAACCAAAAACACGTCAATTTTTTTTCATTACGCAACTGTGTGGCGATTTTTTTTTTTTACTGGCACACTGACCACAAGACCCATTCTTTCATATGTAGGCCTACCAGCTTTCACTTGAAGATTTGAAGTTCTAAATTTAGGCGTACTAGTATTTTCAATAGCCTGGTGCGTAGCCACATACTAGTTGGAAACCTGAAGGTTTAAATAATATAAACTAAAAACTGTACAGGAGGGCCCCACTTATACAGATTCTGGGCTACTACTGTAAAGCAAAAGTTGCTGTAAAGTTAATCATAGCCTTTTTTCACTTTGAAATGCATGTAAAAGCCTGATAACATGTTTACACTATCAGATATTAGTTGAGCAATATAGCTAGGCTCAAAAAATGCATATACAGTTTACACCTTACTTTCCTTAAAATATTTTCATCCTTAGCTTATAGTGAGTGGTGAACATATTTATTATAGGATTATCTGAATAATGAAGAATGGGCATAATTGTAAACTCCTCTACTATTAGCAAATCACTGTAAAGCAGAGCCTACCTGTATATGCTTTAATCACTGTAAAGCAGGATCTACCTGTATATGCTTTAATCACTTTTTGTCATCTGCAAAGCTGTTGATTCGTGAGTGAATAATGTCTTTCTTCTTTCAACACACCAGCCATATCCCACCGAGGCGGGGTGGCCCTAAAGGAAAAACGAAAGTTTCTCTTTTTACATTTAGTAATATATACAGGAGAAGGGGTTACTAGCCCCTTGCTCCTGGCATTATAGTCGCCTCTTACAACATGCATGATTTACGGAGGAAGAATTCTGTTCCACTTCCCCATGGAGGTAATAGGAAATAAACAAGAACAAGAACTAGTAAGAAAATAGAAGAAAATCCTGAGGGGTGTGTATATATATGCTTGTACATGTATGTGTAGTGTGACCTAAGTGTAAGTAGAAGTAGCAAGACGTACCTGAAACCTTGCAGTGAATAATGTATAATAATAATATGTTCTTGAATTGATCTTTGTCAACAGCAAAACCTTCATTAATTCGTGAAACATCGAGGTTCAGCCTTTTTGAAGCTGTTCGCCATCCATTACAGACTATAAAGAAAATTCAGAAGAGGCCAGAAGATGTATTAGAAGGTGTTGTTCTCAGTCCAAGCGTGGAAGGACGAGTGAGGTGAGAAATATTTTGTTTTCTAGCTTTTCACATGTTTAGTAGTAGTTTGATACAGTACATATACTGTTTTCCTGCTTTTGCAGTTCACTTGTTCTGTATATGATGTCAGGAAAAAGGGAAGATGGTAAACATTCCTAGTGGAAAATTACTGATAAACAAATAATACGTACTAACCTCTTCAGCCCCCCTTCACCGTTCCCCATCACTGTCTCCCTCCCTCCCTCCCTCCCACCCTCCCCCTTCAAAATTAAAAGCTCTTTTTATTGTAGTTTTTTTCAAAAATAAATCTCAGAAGAAAGACTTATTTCTGTAGTATCAATAAAACAAATAGAGTGAAAATCCAATCATTGCTTACTGAGATATGAAGGTGTAAATTTGAAGATCATTGATCCTGTGACACTAACATGGAGTATTGCCACACACTGAATATGAAAAAAATTGCATATCTCATTTTTTCTTGAATTTTGAGACATTTGTCACCTTCATATAAGTAATGTGGGCTAGAATGTCTATTTCATGTCCACTGTGTCTCTTTGGTTAAACCTTACTATACATCAGAACAGTAACATTAAAATTATAGTGTTACCAAAGCATTTGTTTATATGCTGTTTCATACAAACATATACACATTAATAATAGTAAGTATGGGTTGTGACTGCTGCAGTGAGAAAGAGGCTAGAGGCAGTGTGGGATTAGGAGGAGGTGTGGAGTTACTAAAAGTATTGCTCAGAGGGCTAAAGAGGAGTTATTGAGGTGGTTTAGTCATTTAGAGAGAATGGAGCAAAATAAGTTGACTTAGAGGGTGTATAAATCTGTTGTGGAGGGAACGGGGGGTAGGGGTCATCCTAGGAAAGGATAGAGGGAGGGGGTAAAAGAGGTTTTGTATGCAAGGGGCTTGGACATGTAGCAGGCATGTGTGAGCGTGTTAGATAGGAGTGAATGGAGACGAATGGTTTTTGGGACCTGATGAGCTGTTGGAGTGTGAGCAGGATAATATTTTGTGAAGAAATTCAGGGAAACTGGTTAGCCAGACTTCAGTCCTGGAGGTGGGAAGTACAGTGCCTGCACTTTAAAGGAGGGGTTTGGGATATTGGCTGTTTGGAGTGACTTCTAAACTGTCATATCTGGGTGCCGCTGCCAAGACAGTGATTTTGTGTGAGTGATGGTGAAAGCATTTCTTTCTTTTTTGGGTCACCCTTCCTCAGTGGGAGATGGCCATTGCGTTGAAAATAAAAGTAATAATAATAATAATTATTGTTCCAGCATGATACTTTGTACAAAGGTGAATGACATTTGCAAATACATACAGAAAGCCCTAAAATATGCAGAACATTCAGGCAAACTTAACATTAACTTAAGATTAATAAGGCATTAACAATATGAGTAATTTTATACAGACAGTCACTTGAGTGAGTGTAAGTATAAAATTTAGGAGTTACGGTGATTACAAGAGAATTAAATATCCTATTAGTTCATGCTCTATGGCTTTTATCAAGCTTAATTGATAAAGAATTACAGGTTTGAATATTAACATAAAAGGGGACACAATCAATTTTTAATGTTTGGGAGGATTACAGATATTGAGAGTAAGATTATATTGTTTTACATGTGTTCATGATGTTGAGAATACAGAAATGTAGTTTTGCGTATTTAGCTGATGCTTGGATATGTTAGGGAGATAAGGTGCTTTTTAATAATGGTAGTTTTGAAAATGCTGGCTGAGATAGTGGTTCTGAAGATTTCCAGCAGAGAGTTCCAGATTTTGGGCCCTTTTATGCACATTGAATTTTTGAAGAGATTTAGCCAGACACTGGGAATGTCTTTTTTTTTTTAGTTTTAACACGTGTGAAACTTTTTTAAGCTTAGCTGCATACTCACTGGTGTTTCACATTCCTTTCATATAAACCATGTATACCTGCACTTAGCTGGTCATCATATGGTGTGAGCACACACACTTCTGAGCCCATATCATGCCAGTACCAGAAAGTTAAGTTAGAAAGTGATTCCCATCCCTGTTGAATTAGACACATGTGCAACTCTTGGGTATCTTTATTGAGGAAACGTTTTGCCACACAGTGGCTTCATCAGTCCATACAAAGGAGAAACTTGAAGAACAGGAGGAGAATGAGGTAATCAGTCCCTCAGCCTTGAGTCGATGTGGTCAGTCCATTAATCTTGAATAGAATACGGCATATGAGCGGAGAAGCAGCTTATAAACCGTAGACAGGTGAGGGGCAGCAGTCGTAGGTGGTGTCACATTTGTCCAATGTGGAAGTAGGTCGTGCCCAAGAGTTAGGCAAGTGAAGAATTCCCAAGTACTAAGATCCCAAGAAGTTTTCAGTGTCTGACAGGATTGTAGATGAATGGCTCAGAGAACCGACATGTTGTTGAATTAGACACATGTGCAACTCTTGGGTATCGTGCAACTCTTGGGTATCTTTACTGAGGAAACGTTTCGCCACACAGTGGCTTCATCAGTCCATACAAAGGAGAAACTTGAAGAACAAGAGGAGAATGAGGTAATCAGTCCCTCAGCCTTGAGTCGATGTGGTCAGTCCATCAATCTTGAATAGAATACGGCATATGAGCGGAGAAGCAGCTCAATAAAGATACCCAAGTGTTGCACATGTGTCTAATTCAACAACATGTCGGTTCTCTGAGCCATTCATCTACGATTCCCATCCCTCAAACAAGAGGATATTTGGTTATCAGTGTAGCAGCACATTTGTTTCTCTCATCACTTTTTTTATTTGTATTACTTTCTTCTGTTGATTGAATATAAATATAATGTTACATCACATTTGTAACATTATATTTATTTGTTTTTTTCCTGTGTACACAATCAGATCTAATACCAAGCCACTTTCAGTCACACAAAATGATTAGTCCCAAATCTGCACACACACAAATCATTAACCCTTTCAAGGTTGGTGCTGTACTAGTACGGCTTGCGCACCAGGGTTGGTGTCGTACTCGTACGCATAAATTCTAGCGGCTTCAGATTAAATGGGAAAGAGCTGGTAGGCCTAGATGTGAGAGAATGAGTCTGAGTGGTGAGTGTGCGCGGTAGGAAAAAATTCTGGGACCCAGTGGCGCATTGTGGGAAAGCCATTTTAGTACACCTTGCTCACCATGCCTCGCGGTAAGAAACTCCTCACTCCTTGGCGAATTGGGACACTTGTTTCTCAGTGACAGTTCTAATACAGATGGAAGTGCCAGTGAAGATGAGTTTCAAGGTTTTGATAAGGTTGTGACTGAAACTAATGACCATAATACCGGTAATAGTGAGGAAAACCCAGACGACCCTCAACCTTCCACTTCTGGTGTTGGGCCGTCTTGTTCACATTCAGTTGTACCAGAATGAAAAAGGAAACTCTTATTTTCCCATATCCAGCACTCAGATGTGAGCAATGGTGATGATAGTGACAGTGAATATGAACTACAAGCTCTTGAAAACAGTTCCAGTAGCAATAGTGAAGTGGAATATTCTCCAGTGAAGCATCAATATATATGACAGTATATGTGTTCTGGTAGTGTGCCATATGCTATTCCAAGGGGAAGGAGTATATCTCAGAGTACACCCCGTGGCTGTACAACAGGAACAGACTGAAAATGAAATTGATTGTGTTGCAATGGGGATGGAAAATGGGCATGCATCTGGTGGTGGTAGTGGTGGTGCCAGCCGTGAGGCAGCAGCAGTGGGCCATGCTGCCACCCACGCCACTGCCTCAGCTGATCTACAACAAAGGCCACCATCCCCCACCCACCCACCACACCAGCCTCCACAACCACAACCACCTGTCAATATCCAGTACCGACCAGCAGACTGCACCTGGGATTGGCAGGAAGCTGACAGTTTTGTTCCAAATTCCCATCAGTTTGATGAAAGCCAAAGTAGAATATGGCCATCTTGTACACTTGGGAACAATGCCACTGAACTGGAATGTTTCGAGTTATTCTTTGACGAACCCCTGATGGAAATTATTGTCAGGGAAAACAACAGATACTTCGAGTACACCATGGCAAACACAATACTTTCACCAAACTCACGCCTACACCAGTGGAAGGGGACAATTGTGGCTGAGATGTATCTTTTGTTTGCCACAATAATGCTTATGCCACATGTGTATAAGCACAGTGTGAAGTCATACTGGTCGACAGACCGCCTGATTGCAACCCCAGGTTTCAGTGATATAATAGGAGTGAATTGATTTGTGCTACTGATACGTATGCTGCACTTCTCAGATAAAACCAGGCCTGACAGAAACGACAGGTTATATAAGATTAGGAATGTGTTTGTGTATCTGAAACAGAAATTCAGTATGTATTTTTATCCCCTCAGGAAGCTTGTTATTGATGAGTCTTTGATTCTGTTCAAAGGAAGACTCTCATTCAAGCAGTATATACCAAACAAGAGGAAATGCTTTGGTATAAAGTTGTTTGTGCTTTGTGATTGCTACAGTGGTCTTATATTGGATATAATTGTGTAAACTGGAAGTAATACATTGCGAGATACCAGGAAGTTACTGGGTATCTCTGGTGATGTGGTTAGAACAGTGATGGAACCATATCTTGGTAAGGGGCATATATTATATACTGATAACTGGTACAAAATAGGAAGTGACACAGTTGCTTTTTGCTGATGATACTGTGCTTATGGGAGATTCTAAAGAAAAACTGCAAAGGTTAGTGGGCGAATTTGGGAGTGTGTGTAAAGGTAGAAAGTTGAAAGTGAACATAGAAAAGAGTAAGGTGATGAGAGTATCAAATGATTTAGATAAAGAAAAATTGGATATCAAATTGGGGAGGAGGAGTATGGAAGAAGTGAATGTTTTCAGGTATTTGGGAGTTGACATGTCAGTGGATGAATTTATGAAGGATGAGGTTAATCATAGAATTGATGAAGGAAAAAAGGTGAGTGGTGCATTGAGGTATTTGTGGAAGCAAAAAATGTTATCTATGGAGGCAAAGAAGGGAATGTATGAAAGTATAGTAGTACC